TCTCTCTCTCTCTCTCTCTCTCTCTCTCTCTCTCTCTCTCTCTCTCTCTCTCTCTCTCTCTCTCTCTCTCTCTCTCTCTCTCTCTCTCTTGGCGTGCCTGACCTCATTAGCCAGGTTTTCTGTCTTCTAGGCATGGCTGGCCTCATTAGCTAGGTTTTCTATGTTGCCTGTTTGCACCTTGATCACCCAGTATCTGTTATGTGGAATCAGCCAAATGCCTTGGGCAAAACAGTCAGGCAGGATGACAATGTGGGCTGGCTTATGTTAATCGCAGCTTGATTGGTTGCAAGAACTGCTTACCAGTGCATGGCCGGATCTTGTTGTTTCATAAGCTTGGGAAATTTGAACTGCTTACCTATAGGACATTAGGATGTTTGAAGTTCGAACCATTTATCTGCAGATCTGTGAAAAATGCCCCTGCCATTTGGATGTTCGAACTGTTTACCTGTAGATCTGTTGGAAATGCCCCGGCCTGTTATAACCTTGTTTGGAATTGATCCCACCACCTGCCATGTCATCTGGAATGAGCGTGTCTCTATTTTTCAATTATTAGAAGAGGGTCGCTGGGCAAAGGGTACCATGTCAGATTTAGGAGGGGGCCATAATCCGTTCGTTTTCAGGCCCTGACTATGTGTTGGTCCTGGATCTGGCTTCCAGGTGTGAATGTACCGGGTCCTACATCCTGGCAGGATTCTGAGTTAGTCCTTTTCATGAATTACAGATGGGAGTGTGGTCACCATATTAAAACAGGGGTGATAATCTGATCAGTGTGTGTTTTGTTGATGATAACGGTCACTCAGAATGCTACAGATTCATTTGTATGAACTTCTTCCTACTTCCAGGTCGGACCCTGAGTTTTTGTTAATCCATGCTTCGAATATCCGCACAGAAAACCGTGTTTTTCTCTCTTGCTGCATGCATCGCCATAGCACTAGGCAGTCACCTCGTGCCCTTTTGCAGCATGAATCTCCTCAGATATGTGAACGCGATTGCATGAAGCTTGATGCAGCAACAGTTCTTACCGACTTGTGACTCGAAATTTGGCTCTGCGATCTCTCAGCCACGAACAATCGCGTGAAGGCAGCCAAATGCATCTTCTTCATTGAAGGGGGTACAAGCGCAGCAGACAGGGAAGAAGCACACTTACACCACGTTTGGGAGCACATGAGTAGTATGAGCTTCCAAACACATGACCAGTCATAGCGAAGGCAATCATAACTCACAGTTTGCTTCGCAGCATGGGGAGTTGATGCAAGACGAAGGCAGGGGGAACCGCAGATGTGACGGGGCTGAGGCAGAGCAGCGAGACTGGGAGAGAGAGGGAGAGTGAGAGCACACACACACACGCTCACTCAACTCGACGCAGACTCGACACGACTCGACGGATGCAGACACAAAGTGGAAAAGTCGCAATCTTGGATTCCGAACACAATGTTGCAGCAAGTCACACTGAAGCACAAGCACTGAGGCCGAAAACTGAATGCCCGAACTCAGCTTGAGTCCGGTCTTAAGTACCGGACTCAAGTTGAGTCCCAAGGGCAGAAGTGCAATTTGCCTCAGGGCTGAACTGAAAATTGAAGGTCTGAGCCTGGGCGCCAGAGTGCCGGATGGCGCCAAGTATCGAAATCCGAAAGTGCCAGAGGAGGGATTTGAGAACAGGTGCCAACTGCAGAGGGTGCCAACAGTCAGGAACCGGAGATCAGAGACCCAAAAATAAAACAGCAGCCTGGCGGGTGGAAACCCGCGGACCAGGGATCGAGCCCTGGCTGAGTCCATAACACTATCCCCTCCCTCTGGAAGGTAACATCCCGGCTGCCAAAGACCCAATGAACAACTGTGAAGGACGGGACGGGGCCGATCACTGGTCAGAGAAGGAAAGGGGGAGTAATGCACGTAGCAGGGTAATCCTATGGAGGTTCTACAGGGATGAGGGAATCAATGCTCAAGTAACAGGGTAATCCTACTGAGGTTCTACAGGGGTGAGGGAATCAATGCTAAGTAACAGGCTAATCCTATTAAGGTTCTACAGGGATGAGGGAATCAATTCCCAAATAACAGGGTAATCCAATTGAGGTTCTACAAGGGTGAGGGTAGCAATGTTCAGGTAACAGGGTAATCCTATTGAGGTTCTAAAAGTAACAGGGCAGTCCTATTGGTGTTCTACAAGGTTATAGGTTGTCAAGTTTGAGGGGGGGGGGGGGGGG